CACAATGCAATCAACAAGGCCCCGACAATACCTCAAAACATAGTAATAATAGAATCAAAAGAAACGGAACATGACCTCGGAATGAAGTAGGGAATCACTGAGACTGCTGGGAGACGAGGACTTACCATTAGATGCGATCAACATTGTCTGGCTTGGAACCACCTACATCCATTTATATATGTAGTGCCCCGGACAAAAGGGACGTTAGTACTGTCTAATAGTACTAGTATCTAAAGCTAAAACACCATCTTAATAGAATGAACAATGAAACATAGAGGAAACAATCATGATGTACAATAAGAGCTTCAAACAAATACAAAAAACATCAAGTAACGATCCAAAGTCTCCGGTTAAATGTCTATCTTATTAAGTTGTTAATCTCTGTGTCATGTGCCACAATCCACAATACCACCGTGTTCCTACACGGAGTCCGATCTCGACCCGATCGGCTAGGTCATCTCTTTTGAGACATCAACCAAATCCATAATTCCAATCAATCATTTCCAACACAATTACCACCATGTGTGCGGCATGGCATCCGATCACGGCCCGATCAGCTAGGCTATCTCCCTTGAGACATCAACCATTCAATCCATCATTTCACTTCACATTTCTTTCCCATATTTCAATACATTAGCATGCCTGGCCTCATTTATTAAGTCATTCTTGGCACTTGGCCGTATTTCACAATTCAAGTTTCCCTTTTTACATATTCAAATGCATTATCATCAGCAACAATAAGGCCTATCCTGTAAGGAATTTTCACACACAAGGGCAAAGCTTGGAAATTCTAAGCACATAGAGGCTTTTCATACAAATTGGCACAACAATCTTTATTCAATTTCTTTGACATGAATTCTTAACCTTTCTCCACACATATTCCACATTTTAAAACATATTCACAAAGGAAAATATGAAATGATTAGAATTTAGTATAAATTTTGAACACATATCATTCCACACGACACATTTGGGATAGTCAATTCTAATATGATCAATTTGGGGACTTACACTGATTACACAAATACCGGGGGAATTCGATTCTAAGAAGAAGGAAGTTTAGCCATACAACCATGTTTAAGCTTTTCTTAAGTGACTACAACATTCTGAAAATTCTAAGAATCCTAATCTATTTTGAAACCTAACAAAATCAAATACAAATTAGGAAGATATTTATGGTTTCAGCTCATTTGAGCATTTTATAAAACACCAGTTGTGCATTTTGATTTCAAAGCTCTTCTACAAGATTTTCTTCATTCCCCAACCCAATCTTTACTTATTTGTGTCCAACAATCTTCCCACAAACCTTATTTGTACATGCATGTATACATAATATTATTACACCCAAGAATCATACCTCAATCACCCATCTTATATCCCTAACTCGAAATTAATATCTAGTGTATAGAACCTTACCTCTTAGATGAAAATCGTGTGATTGGTTTCCTTGATTCATGAAGACTGATGCAATATTAAATGATTGCAATTTTTGGCTTCCTTCTTCTCTCTCTAAAATTCTCTTTGCTCTCTCTAAAAACCTTAGAAAATTGCCCCAAAATAAGACCCAAGAGATGGTTTATGCAAATATTAATTTGCAAATATGGTTGCTCATTGATGCACTGGTGGAATGGGAATTAGTGGAGGATACTGAGCAACATGTGACTGTGAGAGTGCTTCACCATGACCTGGGGAAGCACATGATGATGACATTTGTTTATGCAAAATTCTCAACAATTGAGAGGTTGGAATTGTGGGATCACTTGTATTACTTAGCAAGTGATATGAAATGCCATGGTTGGTAGGAGGGGATTTCAAGGTGAAATTACATGAAAATGAGAAAATAGGAGGACTGCCAGTACACCTGTCTGAATTTGAGGATTTTGCATTTTGTATAAACTCTTGTAGTTTGTTTGAGAAAGGATACAAAGGAAGTCCATTGACATGGTGGAATGGGAGATCCAATGTTGCGTGTATATTAAAAAGATTGGATAGGATCTTTGTGAATTCTTCATTTCAGAACATGTTGCCAACTATTGAAGTTGAACATCTAATCAGAACTGGATCAGATCATGCACCTTTGTTAATGACATGTGGGGAGAAGATCACCAATTTGTCAAGCCTTTCAGGTTCTTAAACTTTTGGACTAAACATGCTACATTTATGGATGTGGTGAGGTAGAATTGGGAAGCTGATTTCATAGGGGATTCGTTTTTTATGTTCAAACAGAAACTCAAGAGGGTGAAGGCAGCACTGTCAAAATGCAGCAGGGAAATATTTGGTGATTCTTCAAGCAGTTGGCTATTTTGGAAGACATTGTTAGGGTGAGAGAGATGTTGTTTGAAGAAGAGCCCACAATTGAGAACAGGATTGTGCTTCAAAAGGCTCAATCTGAATTGAAGAAATACTTGAGTATTGAGGAGCAGTATTGGAAGCAAAAGCTGGGATGACTTCGTTTGCTGAAGGAGATAGGAATACAAGTTTCTTTCACAATCATGTCAATTGCAAAAGAAAGAAATTGCAACTGAAGATGATCAAAAGTGGAAATGGGGTATGGATTGAAGACCAAGAGCAATTGGCTACAGCTGCAGTGGACTTATATCAAAAACAACTTACAAATGAAGGTGATACATCTGATTTTTCCTTGCTCAATAATGTACCTTCGATGGTCCTTATGGAACAAAATTTGGAACTTAGCAGATTCCCAACAATTGAAGAGGTAAGGACATCAGTTTTTGAACTTAGTAGGGAGAGTGCAAGTGGTCTAGATGGATTCACTGGCCTGTTTTATCAAACATGCTGGGATGTTTTTGGTGCTGATATACACAACATGGTGCTACACTTCTATGGAGGAGTTGCACTTCATAAATCTATCACTCACACCAATCTAGTGTTGCTACCTAAGAAACCTAGAGTTGAGACCTTTTCTTACTTAAGACCTATTAGCTTGAGCAACTTCATTAACAAGGTATTGTCTAGGGTGTTACATGATAGATTGGAATTTTATTTGCCTTCTTTAATATCTCCTAATCAGTTCAAATTTGTGAAAGGTAGGAGTATATTTGACAACACCTTATTGACTCAAGAAATTGTCACTGACATAAGGTTAAGGGGAAAGCCAGCTAGTGTGGTGATCGAGCTTAATGTGGCTAAGGCCTATTATAGGGTTTCATGGAAGAACTTATTGCATGTATTGAGGAAGATGGGATTTTTTTTTTGAGCACTTCATCAACATGGTGTGGAACTTGGTGTCAAATAACTAGTACTCAGTATTGGTGAATGAGCAGTCCTTAGGGTTCTTTAAATCTATAAGGGGTGTGAAGCAAGGGGATCCTGTATCACCAGCATTTTTCATTCTATCAGTTGAGGTACTTTCTAGGTATTTGGAATGCATATGTGGTCTGATCCTTTAAACCACTTGGCATATGCTGATGATACTATATTCTTTGCTTCTTCTCATCCTCCATCATTGAATAAGATTATGGTAGTGTTGGGGAACTATGAGAAGATATCAGGCCAGATGATCAACAAAGATAAGAGTTCATACTACATGTATTCAAAGATTCGTAATGGATTGTGTCAGACGGTTGGAGCTATTACATGATTTGCAAGAGGTAAATTCACATTCACATATCTAGGGTGTCCTATTTTCTACACTAGAAGGAGGAAGGAATATTATGAGGATCTTATCAAGAAAGTAAAGGCTAAATTGCATTCATGGAAAGGAAAGCTGCTGTCATTTGGAGGAAAGGCAACATGCATTACTAGTGTGTTGCAAAGTATGCCAGTCCACACGTTATTAGCCCTACATCCACCAAAAAATGTCCTGGAGAATATTTATAAGATTTTTGCTAGGTTCTTTTGGAGCACAAAGGAAGAAGAGAGAAGCAGTCATTGGGCCTCATGGAAAAAACTTTCCCTTCCTAGAGAGGAAGGGAGCCTAGGTTTTAGATCCTTACATGATGTGTCGAGGGCATTGTTTGCAAAACTATGGTGGAGGTTTAGGACCACAAAATCTGTGTGGTCTAATTTCATGTGGAATATGTATTGCAATAAGGAGATACCAACGGTGGTGCAATTTAGAAGGGGGTCTAATGTTTGGAGACAAATATTGAATGCTAGGGAAGAAGTAGAACATGAGATCCTATGGGAATTGAAGAGTGGAACAACTAATATTTGGCATGAAATTGGACTGGATTTGGTGCACTTTATCACGTATTACCTGAATACTTTCCAATCAATGAAGATTTTCAGGATGTGGCAGAATTACAGCAAGGTGAAACATGGGATGATCAGCTGCTAGATCAAACCTTCAATGAGGAAATTGCAGAACATATAAGGTTAAATGTGCATTATGAAGGCGGTGAGGGATACTGGGATAGGCCATACTAGGTTCCAACTCCTTCAGGCAAGTTCAGTGTTAGCAGTGCTTGGCAAATATTAAGGCATAAGGCTGATCCTAATCAAGAATTCAAGTTAATGTGGATTAAAGGCTTACCATTCAAGATATCCTTCTTATTGTGGAGATTGTGGAGGATGAAAATAGCCATTGATGACATGTGGAGGAGGCAAGGGCAAATGGTGATGTCTAGGTGTTGGTGTTGTCAGCAGCCCCAAGAGGAATCTATTGAGCATATATTTATCACAAGTCCTACCGCCTCTAAAGTATGGAACTTGTTCATGGGGGCTGCTGGAATTACTGTGCCATTGATTCAATTGAAGCATGTTATAAGTCATTGATGGTATGCTCAATGTTGTCCAAAGCTAAAGCCATTATTTCAAGCAGTACCAGCTATCATCACTTGGGAACTTTGGGAGAGAAGAAATGCAGGTAAACATGGGGGTTCAGTGTCCACAAATAAGGTGATTCATGATATCAATAGGGCATTGCATCAACTGGAAAGGGCGAGGTATGCTTGGATTCCTAATATTCCATTGTTATGGCCAGACGTAATTCGATATTTTGAAGGATATAAACCTATATTGATCACTACAAGAGTAACATGGCAGTTTTTTTTCCTGGTTGGTACAAATGCAATACTGATGGAGCCTCAAAAGGAAATCCTTGTCCTAGCTCATTAGGCTTTTGTGTGAGGAATGATGAGGGTGATGCGGTGTATGCAAAGGCAGTATACCTGGGGGTGACAACTAATGTGGTGGTTGAATCTAAGGCTATTCTTCAAGGTTTGGAATACTGTGTGGAGCATGATCTTCACCCTCTCATATTGGAGACTGATTCATTAGTGATGAAGAAAGTGATAGAAGGGGAATTGGATCCTCCTTGGCTAATTGCAAATGATGTGAAGAAAATTATAGAGATGAAGGAAAACTTCCAAGTGATCTTTCAACATGTGCACAGAGAAGGAAACTCAGTGGCGGATTTTATTGCTAACATTGTTTTTTTCTTTTGTAGGTACATCTGAGTTTCACTCATTCTCTGGAGTGCCTAGTGCAGGGAGGAGGTTGATTAATTTAGACAAGTTTCAAACTCCTAACCTTAGGGTTAGAATAGCAAAGAGAAGAGCCCCAGACTGATGGCTTCACAGGATTGGAATCTGCACACACATGCATGTTTCTTTTATGTCTCATTCTGTATGATATTAAGGCACTTTCCAGTGGTATTAGCATGGTCACATGCTCATTCTGGGGGTGCTTTGATAATATCCAGGACCAATGTGATAAGGAGGTATTGGATGGTGCAATTTATTCTACTTCTGATATGTTCAAATATTAAGGAAAAGGTTGAATCTGTTATGTGGAATTTCTAGAGATTGTTGAATCATTTCTCAGTGGTATTAGCATGTATTCATGCTCAATCTGAGGATGGTTTAGCAATTTTTAGAATGATTTCTACATTAAAGGTTCGGGAAGAGAAGGATCTAAGCTTACAAGGACATAAAATCACCTAGCTCCACAGGCCTGGCAGCGCCAGGATAAAGCCTAATGATACCCTGGCGTTACCCTGGCGTCGCTAGCTTAAAGCTAGCCTTGGCCTGGATTTTTCCTTGCAAAGCCTGCTTAAAGTCAGCCACAGCCTGGCTTTTCCCTTGCAAAGCCTGCCTAAAGCCAGCCCCAGCCTGGCTTTTGCCTTGCAAAGCCTGCCTAAAGCCAGCCCCAGCCTGGCTTTTGCCTTGGAAAGACTGCCTACATCCAGCTTCAAGACTGGTGTAGCCTGGCTCTTTTACATGATAATATTGATGATCAACTACATAATTTATACTTGGATAGAGTCAGTACACTGACTATGGAGATCGTATTGTAGCATTACTAATGATTGGAAGACTATGTTGGCTTCAATTCTGTGGTGGAGATTTTTGGAATTCATTTTAGCCTATGGACTTGATACCCTGGCGCCTGGTGAGAGCTTGATAGGTGCTGCTTGGTATTTGCCACTGGAAATTGGATTCACATACACTGACAGGAGAAGGAAGCATTCAGCGGACAATGTTGTAATAGCTAGTTCATTAGACTTTAGCTTTTCTATCTTTTTAGTAGCTAGTAGCTTCATGAAACTTCTATTTTGGTTTGGACATCTTGTAAGTTTTGAACCCATTTTGGGATTTTATTTATATATAAGACACTAGGCAGCCTGCCTAGTGGTATGTTTGCTAAAAACAAAAATAAGCCCCAAAGCCTACTTATCAAAATGCGGTCGGGTTATGAAAATAGGAAAATGAAGCCTCTGAAATCGCGTCTACGGTTGCAAAATGGACCGCATAACGAGTATGTGGGTCGCAAAATGGATCGTAAAATTGGTGCCCAGAACTGTGCTTCACTGGACAGGTCTGCGACCATTTTGCAGCCGCATAACCACTTCTGCCATCGCAGAATGGCCGCAGAATTACATTATGCCAGCATTTGGTAATTTGATCATAACGTTTTGTAGGAGTGTCCAAATGACGACCGGTTTGAAGAGTTAGAATCTAGACCCAAAGATATTTCATTTGATAGGTTTTTCATCACATAACACCTTATATATATGTAGAAATTCTCGTCCAAAGTTTGGACTTGTGCATCTCATTTGGAATTTTAGCCTATTATGTAATTTTCCAATTCGACATAGACTTAGGCTTCTACTTAGACCCCACATTACTTACTATATGACTTATACACTTAATTACCATATCCAATTGATATCCATCATATTAGTAATTCCTCATATGCACACAAAATAAAATAATTAGCCTACCTTGGCACAACGAAATCTTTAAATTACTTAGCAAAATTTTTTGGGGTCTTACATTCTCCCTCACTTAGGATCATTCGTCCTCGAATGAGAAGTAGAGTCCGCCCCAAACACTTAACATAATATATCCTTTTCCTTACATACCTCAATTCCCTAAATTTGACTAACTCCCAAATTTTTCAGAAATTTTGGCAGAGCCTCTTTGTAATTGGGCCAATCCACCTGCCATAGAATCACCAAAACCATTTTAACAACATATCGACAACTCGAAAAAGCACCACAATGTATATATTAATAGCACTAATCTCCGCATTACAAGCCTTATATTATCATAATGATACATGGACATTTGACATGACTACACATTATTAAATCATAACACCTAGAAGAATCCTTTCCAATCAAAACCAATTACCACACAATCAAGCGAAAATATTTTCTTTCCGCAACACTCTCGGCCACAAGATGGCCTCTTCGACTTACAGACTTTGCCATAACACATTCACTGAAACAATCTCAACTCCTTGACTTATTTAATAAGGATGACAAATAGATACCCCTCATAAGCTAATTATCCATTAACTTCACCTTCAGTAGTTTCCACGAGGATTATGCACAAAGTATCTCCAACTACCTTCTTAGACATAGGCACATGAAAACACATGGTACATGGAGGACAATAATAGGGAAACATTATACTCATAGTTCAGCCTACTTCTTTCATGATTCCATAAACCCCAAAGTGCATTACACCTACTTTACCTATATTAGCAATTCACATAGTATCTTCATGGAGAAAATCTTGAGAACAACTTGCTCACTTTCTTTAACTCTAAATATCTATGTCGGACGCCCAAATTAAACCCTTGGTGACCTTCAACCATTATTCTATGATGGGCTAGAACAAATATGACTATAGAGTTCCTACCCAATATGATTGATCATGGAATGGTGCTTCTGTTTTTACATGCTTGAATGTACACCCTCGATAGATTACTATAAGAAGGAGCAATGAGGCCCGAGATTGGGCTGGAATTATTCAAGAATCCATCAATGTGCTGAGCAGAGTATTTCGTGAGGTTATATACCCTAAGAGACATGAACTCTACAGTAGATAAAGCTGACATGACTATTCATTGTGATGACATCATTGATTTGACAAATGAGGCATATAGTTAACTAATATATTAGCAATAGAAATCATTAAGGAGGAATATTCATGTACGTGACCCAGTCGTCTCCTGGAGTGTAAGGGAAATCAGTTTATCAAGAATGAGAATACTCTGGCACCTTGAATGCAATATGAGTTTCAAAATACATGAAGTTGAATTACACTCCTAACATTAAGTGACAAAAGGAATCTATGCCACACTCCCATAAGGATGAAAAAGAAGTTGAACACTTATGAGATTATCATATTTTAAACAGCTTAACCATTCCCAATAATTGATCCTATATGAGATGACTAAAGATATAACAACTTGTCTTCCAAATCAATATGCTCATGATATGTGCCAAAATCTGAAAGCATCTAATTTCAACCTTTCACGAGTGGAACCACATATGTAGGACATCTTAATATTGGGATGAGATCATGTATTAGTTAGAGAGAATGAACATTTTTCTATGTGCTAGACATGTCTCTGCCATAATAACTCTAAACTTGTAATACCAGGCCACTTCATGGGAAACTACAATACTAGGATAGGCATACTGAGATGGGCAAACAACAAGATCTTCCTGTGACAAATTTGTGTTAAATCTCAAATTTCTCAGAAACTTTATACGGACAAGCGACTACTCCAATCGACATGCAAACACATGATAGGAGTTGGGATATGCTCTCATGTTACTAGACAGTGAAAATGTTTCATGAAGATACTCGCAAGAGAGTAGAGTGACAGTTCAAACCATAGAAGTCATGCACACCCGCGCGAAAAAAAGTGACTCGAGAAGGATCGCAACACTGGGATGCTTTACATGGAACTTGACACCACATAGGTAAATTTTACGACGATACATGCATAGACACAAGTGAGCAGATGCTGTCCACTTAAATAAAAAGGTTCTGCAAGAAATTCATCAGGTATAGTCTCTTGTTGAGAATTTAGGAAACCAAGTGGGAGGTATTATCATAGGGTTATATCTCAACTCATGGGAATACCTATAGAGCTCAATTTCCACAAGAGGTTGTAAGTAAGCTGATTTGTGGTAGAGTGGCTTCATGAATAATGTGTCTCATTCAGAAAGTGGATACATGCAATGTTTTATGATTTAGATTCTTATTCAGATTCTTACTCACATACCACATGATTTAGTCGTGCCATGACACTAATAGGAACAAGGGTAATCCCCTTAGAAACAAGTTCTACCAATCCCTCCATGGCTCGATACATTCTCCTCACAAACTCTTGGGCAATCTCCCTCAGATTCAATGGCGGGGTCATTCCCTTCTTACTTCTTAAAACTCGTCTACGCGAGTCCACCATTTTGATACAAACTATTTTATGATAACCATAACCATCTCATTTCATAGATTTTCTTCTCATTTCTTCTCGCCTCGTCCCTCCTAATTAGTGAATAGGTCTTCACTCCTTCATATGTTACGTGGTTCTTTTCCTTAGTTAGGAATTCGTCTTGCTCACCTCTCAACACTTGTTGGGATACCCATGGGAAATTGTATTCACCCGCGTATCGCTTAACACCTCCTTGCTTGTAAGATCTTTAAGAGGATCTCCATCAAGTCCAAATGTACCATTGGGTTATAGTACCATCACATTTATTTTTACCATTCGTTCCGCCTCTCTTAACACCTTGGAACTTTGGTTAAATCGCAAATCTATGATTAACCCATTCTAAAAAACATGTAACCTTTCACTTCAATTCTATAGTACTTCCTTGGGTTCCATTGTTCCTGACCGTCTAACGGGTATAAAATCCCTTTACAAATGTTACTCGTGGTTTCTAGGATTGTTGGCCATGTCATTCATATTTCCATCCATCAAAAATTCACCTTCCCTAACCTTACACCTTCTTGGGGTACTAATATTCTATTATTACATACCCTTTGAGGGGGAAGTTGTGAATATTTCTACAGCGCACTAGAGTGAGACTAGCCAGTTAGGAGTTAGTCTTAGGATGCTACTGATCAGCTACTGATGATGGGCTTTATCTGTTGGTTATTAGTATACTTTACATCTTTTTCGTATTTCCTATATTTCATATATTGTTGTTATTTTGTTATTTTATGGTATTTTATGTTATGTTATGGATTCTATGTT